GAGAACATGACTAAAGACTGTGTGTACTCTGTCCCGTGGAGCTGCGGAAAGGAATTTAAAGGGGAGACAGGCCGCCCCCTAAGGTAAGGCTTCAAGAACATCAGAACGCTGTAACGAGGAAAAGTGGCTGACCACATATGGAAATAGAAGGCAGATCACTGCCCTCTGTGGGTTCAGGTTGAGATCATAGACAGAGAACACCATTGGAAAATTCGTAAACTTGAGGAATCAGCACATATGTTAGGCCACAAAATTCCCCTGAGCCGACATAGAAATGAATGCAATACGAGAACCAGTAATACGGAGTTCCAGAGGAAATAAAAATAACAACAAAAATTTCAATATGAGCACTGGTAAAATAAATTGTTGCTGAAGACATTAGGTTTATAATACCCAGAAATTCATACACATGGCCCAGTGGATAAAGGTGTTAGTTAGATCCAGTGACATGAACAAAAGAGTGTGAGTTAAATACACGGCTAAGGCAATGGAGAACTTTCAGAGAGAATTTAACAGGAGATAACTGATAACTGACATCCATTAAACATGACACATGGAACTAGAACAGTCTACCCCAGTGAGCGAAATAAAGGGTTCAGTTCGACATTCCTACCACCTGAAGAAGGCCGAAGCGTACAACGACCAAAACATTGTAATAAATATGGCGACAAACATGAGGACAATAGTCCGAATAATGTAAATAATGTACATAATACCTCATCTCAGAAATATAGAAGAATTTGATTCAGACTGGGCATATCTCGCAAGATATGGCACGTTTCCCGATGGAGAATCGGAGCCTGTTCATGTTTCGGGCAAAGATTTTTTTTTTTAAATTTCTAATTCGCGTGTCTTAGCGAAAATCAACAACTGAACTCATATAATACCAGGCAACAGTAAGTAGGCTGCGAAATGAATGGCATAAATGGCTCATCCTATATATATATATATATATATAATTCTATCATTTTCAATATATAATTTTATATAATATAATTCTATCATTTCCTGAAATCATTGTTTTGTTTCCAATTTCAGATATTATTATACGTTGTGTCTGATTTGAATTTTTTAAAAATTATAATATCTTAATGTTGACCAGAAAATGATCGTTTCTTAAATTTCAAGCTATCTCTCATGACTTGATATTAACATATCTCTAATTCTCCGAGTTAAAATCAAGCTCAGAATATATCTTCTTATCAGCTTGTAAGATAATAGCTTGCCGAAAGATAAAGGATTGACGCACTCCATTTTATCAAACAGAATGTTGTGATTAATTATTTCCTTTTGATTACATTTCTATTTGACGAAAACTAATTTAAATTTCTAACAAATTTCTTTTGAATATCGAAATCAGCGATATATATCTTAACCTGTAATTTGCAATTGTTTATCTTATTTTATAAAAATCATAATAAAAATCATATTCCAGCAAACACAAAACAATTTCGCAAAGAGATAATCGAATTACAGATTCGATGAATGAAGTCTACGGATGCATTTTTAAAATCGAAGAATTAATATGAGGAGATTTGTTATTTGATTTGCTGTAAAAATGTTTCGGAAATTTGCTAGAATAAACAAGTTTCTTTAATAATACATGAATTTGAAGGATATCTTCCAAATCTTTTTCTTTACTCTCATATATTTATATGACGATAACGTTTCGAAATTTATCGTCGTGATTTATGCAAACAGAATTATGTTCAGGGCCTGCTCCTCATCGCACAGTCTGAAGCATTCTCTTCTAATTCAAAAGCTGGAAAATTGATTCAAATCTTTAAATTATACAGCGATTAAAATTATTTTCTGTTAATTCACCGCAAAATAAATTTACTAAAATTCAAACCAAATTCTTCTAGAGAAAGGCCCTCCCTTCTACTGCACTCCGGATGAGTTAAATTCTGTGTTCACCCTCAACGTGGACGACTTCGTTGTGTCTACGTTCACGCTCACCCTGATAAAGAAGCCAAAAACAAATCTTCCCCCCACCTTTTTTTTAAATTGTAAAAATTCCATAGAAGTACTTCCAATATCATCCACACTTACGAAATATGGATAACTCCCTAATTTTTGGTATTTTTCTTTTTTAATTCTCAGGGTTGGAGTTTTGACGGGGCAAATTTTGATTTAAAATTTATAATTTCAAGAGTGCCAAAAATGTAATAAAAGACAACAAACATTGATTTTAAATTTATAGTCTGTCTATATTTCTGAGATGAGGTATTATGCACATTATTTACATTATTCGGATTATTGTCCTCATCTTTTTCGATATATCTATCACAACGTTTCGGCCGTTGTACGCTCCGGCCTTCTTCAGGTGGTTGGAATGTCGAACCGAACCCTTTATTTAGCTCACTAGGGTAGACTGTTCTAATTCTACGTGCCATGTTTGATGGATGTCAGTTATCAGTTATCTCCTGTTAATTTCCCTCTGAAAGTTCTCCACTGCCTTAACCGGGTATTAACGGCCGAAACGTTGTGATAGATATGGCAAAAAGATGAGGACAATAGTCCGAATAATGTAAATAATTTAAATTTATAATTTCTTGGGATGAACTAATTTAAAAGACCCATATGATTTAGCCCAAATGCCAGCAGTTCCAATAGTCCTTGCTTCGTTATGAATGAAAAAAAGATGGCCACCATCACTTCGATGATGATAGGAGTAGGAAGTATCGTATTTTCCGACCCATTGGACGCGGACTTGTTCCCCTCAAATTACATGCGTCCAATACGACAGTATTATGTCTGAGAGGGACGTGAAGACCATAGAAACGTAGTGTCCGTTAGGAATCAGTTCATATATAGAGCTTAACTCTGAAACTAGGACAGTTGCAAGTGAACAAGCATATCAATAACCCTGAAAATTCATTGGGGGAAAAACAATATTTTGCTGATTGCTTGTAGAACTACCAGAATTTAAAGAAATATTTGCTTTGATTGGTATATTGCAATTTGCTTTGTGTGTGTGTTATTGAGAGAGTTATTGGAATTTCTTTTCTACATGTATGGTATGGGACTTCATTTGCCAAGAAGTACCATACTTCTGTTTTTTTGGGTTTTTTTTTTGCCTGTTACTATATGTACCAGTGTTCACTGATACCAGTAGATTTCTTTGCAGCTACTATGTAGTTACTGTATGGGACAATGTTGCTCCCTGAAACACAACTAAAATAATTTTCTGTATGATGAAATGTACTAAATTCTATCTTTTCCAACAAATGTCCTATAAATTAAAACTTAACTCACGTCTTTTAAAAAAAAGTACTATTATAGTTTGTGCAAATACTCTAAGTATTTCATCATGGTTAGTGAGAACTAGCAGCATAGCCCGGCGTTTCCCATGCTTGATTCAAAAATCGTACGACTCATACAGCCATCGCTATCACTTGACTTAAAATATGTTTGCCCTTCTTTGCCTTTAAAGGAGTGCCATTTGCCGTGCTGATGTTGCTACATGCCTTACTTCTTGCCTATCTCACACTGCGAATTTTTTCTAAGCTCTATACTAAACATTAAATATGTTACGAAAAAAGAACTAAACAAAATGAACACAAACGATCAGCTTTAAAAAAGGACTCATAACTGGAAAAACCGAATGAAAAAAGAATGTTAACAACAAATACATTTTCACACCCAATCCAGTTCTGCGGAATCAGAATCAACGTTGAGTTTAAGCAAACGAATGAGCCAATTGGAGTAAAGTGCCATGCAGATTGAAATTTTTCCCACTTGTGACGGATGCAGCTATTGATCTTCCTGCCTATTCGTGGCAGCCAGCTATTGGCACTCACTCTGGCCAGTAGAAAATGGCCGCAAACTACATGAAAACTGCCGTAGAAGCATGAAAAAATCGATTATTTCCACTATCGATGGGAGTTGGGAAATGCAATGTTGGTCTTGGCCTTCCCACTAACTTGGAGCATGTGCATGTAAACTTTGATGCAAATCCGTTGAAAATTTCAACCGTGCATTCGCTACAAACACACACACACACACACACACACACACACACACACACACACATCCTGCCTTTTATAGATAGAGATGTCAACCGTAAGGTCATAATTTTTTATCTTTTTTGGTTGTGTTATGTGCTATTTTTCCCCTGCATATTCCATGTCAAATTTTGGGTGCGTCCAATAGGTCGGCAAAAGCGGTAGAAGAGAAGCAAATGTGAAATGAATCAAAACCATACGCCAGAGTTCGATTCTGAAATTAACCGGTAACAAAAGGAAAAATTCCAAAACGCTGGGCAGAATACTGCGAGGATATCTTTGGTAAAAAACCCAAAAGAATACTGATCTGTTATGTGACATCTGTCTTTCTTTATGGCACTCTATTTATGGCACTCAAAGATGAAGAAGAGACTCGAGGCGACAGAGATGTGGTTCTAAAGAAGAATGCTGTGGATATCATGGACCGAGCGTGTGTGCAACGATGAAATCCTAGAGAGGTTGTAAACTAGGCGGCGCCTTATACAGGGTGTTACAGCAGAATCCGACACTTGACAAAAAGAAAACGAAATTGGCAATAAAACAAAAGTTGTATATGCAGAGACCTGACAGTTTATTTAGCATCAGTTAGAGTTACATACTACATTATTTTTCAATGTAACCGCTGGCGGCGGCGATGACCATTTCAAGGCGGACGCGAAATGAGTCACACGCTTTGGCGACCATGTCCTTTTCCATAACTGCGAACGCCTCCACGATGGCAGCCTTCAGAAAGTCGACCATGTTGTGGGCGTGCTTTTTGGTCTTGACCTCGATCACGCAACAGAAGAAATAGTCAAGGGAGTTGCAGTCGTGTGAGGAAGGCGTACACAAGTCCGATGAGGTTGTGAGGAACATTGTTGAGCAGTCACGCCTGGGTCGTCTTCGTCTTGTGTGCAGGAGCCGAGTCTATCAAGGGCTTCACCACACTCCTCAGCACCTCCTGGAAGATGTCAGTGGTGACTCTCAGGAGACATGACGTGCACTTCGCTGGAGATGACACCAAGGACCATCACTGAGGAGAGAAACTTCGTATGCGTCACGACGGTAACATCCTCGATGTCTTATCAGATCCACCTGTCGTTCTGCCTGTTGCTCGACTGGTCCTGTATGAAATTCGGTGAGACTTGCAGTGAGACTTGCGGTAGGAGGAGGAACCAGTGTTCTTCTTGATCGTTTGTCAGATCGTCGACTTGCGACAGTCCATGTCAGCGGCGATCTTGGCGTAGCTCTTTGCTACCATCATTGTAGACTGTCTCCTTAACGGCGGGGAAGAACGATTGTTGTGGGCTTTTCGTTTGGCCGTAAACTCGTCCTCATACGATTTGCTCTTCCTCCCAATGCCCATGGCGATGGTCCTCTTGAATCCAAACGAGGCGAGCGTTTCTGCAGGTTTCTTCCCGACGCGAAAAGAATCTACTACCTCTGATCTGCTCTCATATTCCATCCTGGAAAAGGTTAGAGATAAAAACGTTAGTTAATTGTAAAACTGTCTATTTCGTTTTCTTTTTGTCAAGTGTCGGGTTTTGCTGCAACACCCTGTACTTAATATCAGGAAGAGGCAGCTGAAGTTCCTGGAACATATAATCAGGAAGGAAGTTCTGTAGAATCTGAAACGCACAGGTCGAATAAACGGAAAGAGAGACAACGGAAAACAAAGCATGAAATATCTGGCGGGCTTCAGAAGGTGGATGACAGAATGTGTTCTGGGGGAGGTGGCGGAGGGAAGGAACTTGATGAGAGCTGCAAGAGATAGAGGGATATGGAGAGCCATGATTACCCACGTCCTGGAATGACATGACACATAAAAAGAAAAGGGTGGTAGGTATATCTGTAGGCGGCGAGGAAAAAGGAAGGGAAGAAGTAGATTAGAAACAAAGGGTTGATAGGAGTGCATGCTGTCATTAATGACACACTTCCTGCTAGCCATTTTTTATAAATTAATCCCCCAGCTATGGATTAATTAGTAAAACTTGTATCCGCAAATCATTATTATCTCAATAAAATATTCTTAATATAATAACATTTTCTGGTTTTAAATAAACTGCAACAGGTTGATAAACCGTAAAAAAGAAATCAATCGAATTATTTAACTTCTCCTTATTAATGGACAGTGGACATATATCATTAGATTTAAAGTATTTTTTTAAATAAATCTGTTTAGTTATTGTTTTTGTTTGGTCGTTTGTGACGTTATCAATTAAGGTTTGTTTTGTTGATGACTTTTATAATTAAGTAAGCTTGGAAAAGACCAAATAAGGAAATGAGATAAATTGTTTTAAAACTCTATGAAAAACTTATAAGTAATCATCATTTAAATTGTTTCTTGAATGTTCGCCAATAAAAAAAAAAAAAAAATGAAATCAAATTATAGATAAAATGCCGGGGAATTAACTCTGTACTTTTAGATTTTGCATATATTAAATTGTTTTCAGATATGAAATATCTGGTAATCAAAAAGTTATTTTTAGATCCTTCCAGAATTTAATTAAATGATTTTTGAACCATGTTTCATGCTTGTAAAAAATGTCATTAGAACAGATTGAAAACTTTTTATTTAAATTATCGAAAAAATAATAATAACAATAAAAACATTGATGGACAGATAACGTTTCTTTTTCTGGGATGACGGAAATAATTTAAATGGGCTTGATTGTGCAAAAATATCAGTTACCTTCTAAAAACGGTCTTTCAGAAAAGGATGAGATATCCATAACATTGGAAATGTCCAGATAATAAGAAATATGTTGGTCTGTATAAATAAATCTATCTATCTATCTATCTATCTATCTATCTATCTATATATATATATATATATATATATATATATATATATATATATATATATATATATATATATATATGAATATGAGGATTGACTCCATTTTAACAGTGTATTTTCTGCTCAAAAAGTACATAGTATTATCTTTGTTATAGTTTTTTTTGTAATTTCCTTTTTGCCCTTAAGCCCTGCCACTACGGGATATTCCGTGTTGTTCAGGTGGAAAGAAAGGAAAAGATACCACTCGGTATAAATGAGAAAAAGAAAGAAAGAAAGAAGCTAACGTCTCATTCCTATACCTGATAAATAATGAACTATTCCCTTTTCATCGGCTGAAATTGACATGACTTCGTTTCAGTTAGAAAATTTAAGAATCAAAGAAAGAAAGAAGGGAAGTTAAAAGGGTTTGACAGCAGTTTCAGGAAAACCCCAAATAGTGTTTTTTTCATTTGTAACCCCTTCCTTCTTAAAATAACGGCAGCATTCATATTTATGATTATCATTGCAATATTTTGTTTAAACAGTTAAGCACAAATATTTAAAGATGTGATAGATAAATTTCTATGTATGTCTTATTGTCATAGAACTCACCCTGGGCTTACTTTATCATTAAATTAAGCATTAAGATTCATCAGAATATTAAAAAAGGAAAACGTTGACATTTTACCGGGTTGAAATTAGTTTCTTTTCATGAATACAGCAAAGAAATGAGAACCACGACGCAAAAGAAAAATTATGGGAAATATTTTCTCGCTTATTAACTTATTACAAGCTTGTTTCTTTGATGTATTGAAAGTTGCAGGCTATTTTCTCTAACTTTTATAAGATTTTCATAATTATAATATTAATGCGGTTTCTATACAAGAAAGGAATATTCCAAATTTGAATTTCCCCCATTATGGGCATTATCATAGATATAGTAACGCTTAATACACAGACGAAAACAGAATAGCTGAAAGAAAATTATAACACATATACATTGTTTTCAAAAATACTTATATATACACACTTGTCACTAATTTGTCCAACACTGAAATTATGGCAGATTTATACAAGTAGTGTGAAAATGGCATGAAGACACGCTGCAGAAATGGATAGAGGCTCGGTTTGAGGAACTGGGGAGCCAAGTTGAATCCATTGTATTCACTTACGTGCTAATACCCTTGGAAAAATTATGAATCATTTTCCTCCTCCCAGCTATGGGTAAATAGCAGGACAGACCGGGTTCTATAGCCTTGGATGGCAACTGCTCTACCACAGAAAAAATGGCATCCTACTGGGGGTGAAAAAAAAACTTGCCTCATCAGTCATGAATCGAAGCATACATGATCGCTTAAACGTGTATCACTGGGAAAGGGGCGAAAGTGAGCGAGTTTTAATTACAATATTTCCCAACGGAAAAGCAGTAGGTCGTATTGTCCTTTATGTTTCTCGTGAGACTATGTGTTTTTTTTTCTGTATTCCTGTTCACTGTCTACTTGTCACATTTTTTTCTTTGCAGCTGACATACTAACTCCTGTGGGAAGGAGAGTTTTGACCAGAGGAATGCGAAATACAAACTGGCTTTCTCCACTTTCTGAACTGACCTCACTCACCAGTCGTCATGTGATTCTCGTGAATTCATCTGAAAGGGTGATAATTGTTTGTTTTTTTTTTTCTCATGCCCACAATATAAACGGAGAATGGCTAGGACCTAACATTGACCATTTTATGACGCCAGCAAGATCTGATAGCCTTCAGAAGTTTAACTATTGGCAAACGAGATTCAGGGACGGTGTGTGTTTCGATTTTTTTTTATTGTTTTTTATGAAAACGTTCTTAAGACATGCAATAATTTTAAACTGAAAAATACTTTGTAGATTCTCCAGAAGATTCATGAATTGTTTCTTAACAGGTTAAAAGATAATGTCTGTCTCGTTTGATAGAAGTAATACAAGGTTATTTGATAGCGCATAAATATCAGTGACATATGGAACATTTCCGAACTATCATAATAAAAAATCAAACAGTTTGTGCAGACAAAATATTTAATAAGACATCCGTCTGACACTGTAAATTAGCTGTTTGCTATCGATTCTTTCTTATGTTTTCCCTGAAAAGAAATCCTATTAATTGATGAGATATGAAAGAATGTTTTATTCACCCAGTTTGCATTATGATATCCACAATATAATAACACCTTATTCCACGGACAGAACCGAACGATTGAAAGGAAAAGAAAGGACAAATATTTTTTGTTCTCAGATAGAATTTTATGCAACAACGTAATACACAAAGTAATTTATACATACTTAAACGTGTCCCACGCAGAGAAACTACAACGCATGTCTACACAACAAGCGGTGTGAAAAGAGAAAAGAATTGTCAAACTTTTAATGATTCCCAGTGAGAATTTGATTTTCCAGAGAAGACATATTTTCGATTCCAGATTCAAGCGGGTCGGATTTATCTGTTATAACGCTGACAATGTCATGTGCCTAAAACGGAAAACGCTGAAGCATATTTTTTCTCCATAGCCGACGAGGTATTTTCCATATCTGGTGTAGATATATTTCCATATGAAAATGGCGCCATAGGTTTGTCAATTGCAGTACGTGTAACCTAGCTGTGGAAGCAGATATAGCGCCCGGGCCAAAAAAATCATCTGCTCTGTTTGATTCCTGGAATCTAACTGACTGATCCCTTTCCTCACGCTATGAAATGGCGTCTCTAAGCAGCTGCCATGCGACGCACATGACATCATCTCGACCAAAGGGAGATAATCACCTTTTGTATCCTTACATCAACTTTACGTATGGATAGTGCAAGTCAAGATGAATCGTTGTGAGAATGGCTTGAAATCTTATTGAATAAGTGATCAACCCTACTGGCATTGTCCATGTTGTGAGTGAAGTTGCTTTTTGGTTTTCTGACTGTTTACTTAATAATCAAACAGCTATTCCTTAATGGATTCACTCTGTTAACATAACCTTTGTATATTTCGCTTTTCCGCCTCTATAGATCTTTCATCCACCTCGCTAAGCAATTCAGTTTCTTTATCGCCAAGGTACTCTCTCTATGTTACTAGTTTCTCCTCGTTCTTGCTTCTTTAAATCTTTATTTCTGTCAATATTCTATTATGTGTATTTGCATAATACCCATAAATCATCCCGGGTTTACTTACTTGCCTAGGGTCCGAATAACTAAGCACACTTCATCAAATGAGAGAACCAACACCGACTGTCTTTGTGTTCACTGGTCAATATTTGAAAGTGAATTTTACTGATGCCTACGTTGATGACGTAACAATTTTCGTCGTGTAGAAAGGAATATCTGAGCTGAGTTCAAAATCCGTCCTAGATCGTTGATTCCACTCTATTACTGTTAAGAAAAGTGCTGTTCTTCTCCCCAAATATTCGGGTTAAATTGCAGCGTAAGCTGGGCTTGTAGCGACCACTCCGTAAAAAAGAAGAGAACAGGGCTTGAACTTTTGACTGTGTTCCCTACACGCTGGTGATTTAGTTTTAGAATTGAGATAATTACTTTTTAGTTCGGTTTATGTTACGAAACTAATCGTAATACACCTCTTTGTATTGTTAAGCGTTTGTTTTTTCATAGCAAATCTAAACTCATTTTTAGAGAGATGTTTTGGCATTTTTGCGAAACCGTGTCTGTTGTTGGTCTTCCTTAACATAACACTGCGACTTCAGACCGAATTTTGGGTCGGTACCCAGACGCCTGAACGGTCGGTACGCAGCGATAACCTGCAACGACCAGCAGCGATCACCTGCAGCGACCAACGATCACCTGCGACGACCAACAGCGATCATCTGCAGCGACCAGCAGCGATCACCTACAGCGACCAACGATCACCTGCGACGACCAACAGCGATCATCTACAGCGACCAGCAGCGATCACCTGCAGCGACCAACGATCCCCTGCGACGACCAACAGCGATCATCTACAGCGACCAGCAGCATCACCTGCAGCGACCAACGATCCCCAGCGACGACCAACAGCGATCATCTACAGCGACCAACGATCACCTGCAGCGACCAACGATCACCTGCGATGGCCAACAGCGATCATCTACAGCGACCAGCAGCGATCACCTGCAGCGACCAACGATCACCTGCACGACCAACAGCAATCATCTGCAGCGACCAGCAGCGATCACCTGCAGCGACCAACGATCACCTGCGACGACCAAAAGCGATCATCTACAACGACCAGCAGCGATACCTGCAGCGATCAACGATCACCTGCGACGACTAACAGCAATCATCTGCAGCGACCAACTTTTTCCCGGATACTTTCGTTTTTAATTACTTGGGGAGGTTTCAAAACTGATTTTGACCAGCAATCCCTGCATTGCAACGTCTAACCCTCGTCACGACCGAAACGAACGCACCTACCCATCCCGTCGTCGACCTCAACGTCCGACCGTCCACACGATCGGAACGTCCATAATCTGTTTCCAACCGTCGATACGACGGAAACGAACGCACTTCGGCATCCCGTCGTCGACCTCAACGTCCAACCATCGACAAGACCGGAATGTCTACAAATCTACTCCAGCCATCGACAAGACCAGTCCAGCCCTCGACACGACCAGTCCGACCACCATTACCTTGATTACCAAACCAATATATCCCACGGCATCTTCTTTATAAAATAAACTTAGCATAGATATCCTCATTGTCCATTTTGTTTCACCTTGTCAGATTACACGTCATGAATTCGAAAAAGGTTAGCGGGCATCTTGTGATCTCATCACATACGATAAGGTGGCGCTCGGGCCGTGGTTTCAAATCGCCCCCTTCCAGGGCGTTCCACTACAGGAACTTTAAGCTTCCATGGCAATCAATCGAGGATAAGAATTCAAAAAATGAAGGTGACAAAGGGAGACTACTCCCCCTATTCTTACCAGTAAGTGACTTATTGGGAACGATAGGGGGCAGAATATGCAATTTAAAGAAAATGAATCCTAGAAGCAGCGTGGGGGGCGGACATTAACCTAAAAACATGGAATTAAATGAATGTTCACAGAGTTGATTATTTGTCTACTTATCCTTAATCAGGAAATTAAGATCAGAGAAGGGTTCCTTTAATAAAATACACACACACACACACACAGTCTCTCTCTCTCTCTCTCTCTCTCTCTCTCTCTCTCTCTCTCTCTATATTACAAGATGTACCAAAAATAAACTTACAAAATTTAGGGTCCGGTTCCTCACACTAAAACAATGACACAAGTCCATATAAACATATGCCTGCAAATCCTTCGTTTTTGAGTTATAAATAAAGTTTACGGTAGATAACGCTGCGTTGTCTAGTGGACTGGGTTATATTTTTCATTCTTGTACATTTGTGGCTCGTCTGTCGTCAAAGTTTCACGTGTGTGGTAGTGAGTTAACTGAGAAGTGTTCCGTTTAACAATGGCAGTGTATTCATATCGTGAGCAGACATATATGATTTTAACATACGTCCGCACGAATAGTAATGGGCGCGAGGCTGCATGGCTGTATTAGATTGCGTTTCTAGACCGAAAACTGCCGAATCATCCAACCTTTCCTGCTGCTTATCGTCGTATGGCTGAGACAGGATCCGTGGTAGCACAAACTATGAAACGAGGAAGGCAGAGATCTCGCTCGTACGCCTGACCACGAAGAACACATTGTACAGGCTGTCGGACACGATCTAGGTGTCACCACACATCAAGTGGTCCTAGCATTTCGTACATTACATAGTATCGCATGGTGGGTAATTCAAGAGCAGCCCCTGTATCCGTATCATTTGCAATATTGGCAGAATCTTTCGATCATTCACCACAGCAGAACTTCAGCCGATCGTTTATTGCCCAGACTGCCGATCCTTTGTTTACTTGTTTATGGAGAAGGCAACATTTACAAGAGATGAAATAAAAAATTTACGCAACCATCATGATGATAAAATATAGGCTAAACAGCAGAATCAGTTTACAATTAATGTGTAAGCTGGAATTGTGTGCGACTGTCTGGCAGGTCTATATTTTCTCCCAGCACATCTTACAGGAACTCTCTAGAGGAGCCTTATGTCGAACACACTTCCAGACGTGCTAGAGGATATACCTCTTCCTATTTTGAACATTTGCTATGAGATTCTGTGTTGAGGTACAACGATAGTCTTTTGGACATATTGTTATATGGACATTTTATTTTTGATACACCATATATATATATATATATATATATATATATATATATATATATATAATTAGATACAAGCAGAATACTTTTAGGTTCCACATTACATGGAATATTAAAGTCGTCAGTTTTAATTTAAATTATTTGCTCTGGATTTACCTTGAGCTCTCTGGATTTTATCCTACTTGTGTCTACCCATACGGATTACTATATATATATATATATATATATATATATATATATATATATGCATTGGGGCAGCAGGTCATTATTCAAACACATATTGTTAAATAAAACAGACAACGAATGTCTATTATGTTTGATCATGAGTCGTGTAATCGCTTTAATTTTGGAAGAAGTAAAGACAAAAACTCTTCACAATTTGGATATATTTTTATTATTCTTTTCCTCGATATAATTATATGTTTGTTAATATTTCGTTCTCTTACGTGGTACGACGTAATAAAACCGCATCACGAATTTACGAACTGCACCTGCTATTCCGCGACCGTTATCGTCGCATAGCAAACTCCTATGTACACATAAGAAGGTATCATGTTTGATGGTGAATATCTTTGTTGAAATGTCCGTTTAACCAGTGAAGATGTCTCATGTGAGCCAGAACCTTAGAACTAGAAACAACATAATAAAAAAATATATCCAAATGTTAGATAGTTTTTATCTTTATTTTATCCCGAAATTAAAGCAAGTATACGAAGCTTAGAACGGCTCATTATCGAACTTAGTAGAAATCCGTTGTTATATATATATATATATATATATATATATATATATATATATATATATATATATATATATATAGTTAGTTAGTTAGTTAGTACGTACGATGTAAAAATGGACGCACCCATAGAAAGTCGATTTTGTATTTTTAGCAAAACAAGTGAGTAATAGAATTCTATTAGTCATCCAGAGTATTAATACAGGTGTACCTATGTACCTTATACAAGTCAAAAAAAAAACAATTTTTCAGTCAAATGCAGGATTAAGGAAAATAAAATCCCAAACCATCTCATATGGGAAATAAACTTATTTCGACCGACGAAAATATAATTCGTCAGTTTTATCAAAACCGGACCAGTCTATACTGGAGTTGATAATACTGAAGAATTATATTTTCCTCGGTCAAAAAAAGACTATTCTCCTTATGAGTTGATATATGTTTAAACGTTATAAATGGTTACTTATATTTGAGTAGATGTTCTGTTTTATTTATTTATTGAACCATCTATATATTTATTTACATCTACTTGCCTGGATATTTGAGAAATATGCGTCCTTCTTCAGCATTCAAACCTGCGTCCCTTAGGGGAAACCGTCATTAGATTTGACGTGCCTTACATCAAGCCGGCCACGTAGGCCCTCCTAAAGCAGTTTCAAATTGTAACAAAATTTCTCAAATATTCAGGCAGGTAGATGTAAATAAACAAATAAACTGTTTAAGATATATATATATATATATATATATATATATATATATATATATATATATAAACAGCACATCTACTGAAATATGAGTATCTATGTAAAAATAACGTTTAAACAAATAAATTATATACAGAACGAGGCAAAAAATGGACGTACTCATAGAAAGTAGAATTCTGTATTTTTACCGAGGCATGTGAGTAATAGAATATTAATAGGGTATTAATAGAGGTGTACATATGGACATTAAACAAGTACGTCCGGTGAAACGAATACTCTAGTGACTACCAAACTCACTGTTTAACAGGATAAAAAAAAATCAACGTTTGCGGTGCATTCTCTACAAAGTCAAGGAGAGAATCATGGACAAGCAAAAATTCTACAGCATTCTTGTTAATCAAATGCGGCTTTCTGCTCAAGGTCTACGCTTCACGTTCCAACACGGCAACCATCCTAAGCATAATGTCTTAAAGAATAGATGTTATCTAGAGAAGAAGCGTGACGTGGGTAAATTGCATCTACTGCATCCAGTGGCCTAGTCAAAGTCTTGACCTTAACCTAATTAAAAACTTTAGGCGATACCTTTTAGTAACAATATTTCTGAAGCAAACATTTATAAAATAAATTGCAAGAATTGTTCCTCCCAATATATTGGAGAAACAAGCAGAAATTTGAAACAAACGCAACTATGAGAAAAAAAGAGACCTAAAACAACAACTTAACTCATGTCATACATAGAAATAAATTCAACCACAATTTTGATTTTAAAAATGCTACACCGATAAAAAAAAGAAAATAACACACTCAAGAAGGAAAATCCTCGAGAGTGTCGCCCTTGAATATTATCCAAATATTAATCTACTCCCAGGCTTTTTTCCCAATATCACCTTTCCTAACAGAATTACTACTCTCCCAAGCCAACATACACAAATACATCTAGAAACAAATGGTTGAATCCGTCAACAAAACAATAAAAACAACATTTCTACGAGTGATAGCAGTGGACATAATTTTCAGTTGACAATATGAATAAAATAGCGTTTTCTAAATTCTTCTAGTTGCTAAGATTTTGTTTTATTGTTAATAGTTCTTTTGTTTTTAATAAATTCATTTCGTTTTTGCATTGAAAAAGTCCACAGTGGATGAAACATGTAGTCTAATAATACAGTTTTCCTATTCTTTTTACCATATATATATATATATATATATATATATATATATATATATATATATATATATATATATATATGAAAGAAAATACAGAAAAACAAAAATCTGAATATGCAATTATGTAGTATTATACTGCATAATTGCATATTCAGATTTTGTTTTTTTCTGTATTTTCTTTTTCATACTGTCGGATTTATATCCATATATTTGCTTACATTATATATATATATATATATATATATATATATATATATATATATATATATATATATATATACGTCTGCATGTATCTTGGCTTTAGCATGACTGATGTTATAGACAGATATTTTTTTTTAATGATGTGCACCAAATACAAACCCAAGAGCCACTCATGCTAAATGCTTACAGAATGAGGTGCGTGCTGTATGAACGTAAGTAGTATAAGAAAAAACATGAAACTTGGATTTGAAGCTGATAGTATTGTAGTATTTGTGGGAG